GCTAGGGGTGATTCCAGAAGATACGCAGTCACAGTAGCATTATTTGCACTAAAATAGGGAGAACTGACATCTGAAATATAGCTGCTATCCCTGGTCAAATCACCTGAAAAAACGCGCAGATCTGAACTTGAAAGCGGAGTTTTTCATGCTAGCAATGCTAGAAGGCATGTGTCTTACATGCTGTGTTCTACCATAAGGAAAAGCACTCCCTGTTTGTGTGTGATCCCGTGTGAAATGTATCTTTCACCTAACATGTAGTCGACACTGAAGGCTAACTTATCTGCACATGCGTTTCGAGCAAATTGCTTCTGCTCTTAAGAGAATAACACCACAAGGATAGCAAGAGATTTGCAAAAACATATATATAGTTTTGTCATGTTTTCAAGAAACCAAAGTAAGTATGACACGTTTTGTGTAGAGCACTTGAGTACCTACGCCACCCAGCCCCTCTTCCTGCAAGGCTAATTGATTAATTGAAATTAATTAATTAAACAGAAATTAACGTTTCCACCTCATGACATTAGTACTTAGAACCTTAGCGAACAGCAGCCCCCTGAACCATCCCAATAGTGCACTCTGCACTAAAAATGAACTTGAAAAACATTGTGTGGTTTATCAGTGATATCATTATTATAATTGTTATTATTATCATTATTGTTATTATAATTATTATTATTATTATTATTATTATTATTATTATTATTTGCTCTCCCAACTTCCATTTTGTGTTCTATAACTCGATAGAAACATGAAAAATGTTTTCCTAAATAACAATTTCCTGACAAACACTGTATAGGCATTTTTGTGCTGTAAGAAAATCAGTGACACACTTGAGGCTGTCGTTTCATGTGCCACTTTTGTGTTCATCTGTGATCAATTACTGAACAGACAAAGGCAACAATGTAATCTATTTGTTAATTTGTTGATAGCTTTAACAATTATTTGTTACCATTTAGATTTCACCAGTGGAGGTGTATGATGTTATATTCTTGGCCTCCTGGAGGACACATGCATGACACATAATGTATCAAACAGTCATCAATTTCATGAGCTGGGGAGTGCCAACAGCCCAAGATACTGTTACATGTTCATTTAATTCCAGGATTTAATTCTGTCTTTGAAAGAGTGGCCAATAAAACTGTTTATTGTATGTTTGTTCTCTGTATACTGTTACCTTACCAATTCCTGTAATTCATATCAGTCGGTTGTGCAGCCAAGATAAAGGGAACCAGGCCCCCAGGCCCTGTTTTTTGAAAACTAATAGTCCATGATTAGGCTACCTGATGGGGTGTAGTGTCAGAAAGAGAGCCAATAGAGAATTTAACAGGAGCAGATCCTTGGGATTTACAAATACTCTGCTTGGTTTGCCTGCAGTAGTCATGGTGTCATCTTGGCAACCTTGAAAAAATAACTCTCCAAAGATGAATTACCCCAGGTGAAGTGGGAACAGAGACACCTAGGGTGGGAAGGGAAGTGGGGGAAGAAAGTGGAGAGTGGGGCATAGACCATGGCTCCCTCAACCCCACTTGTAAATCCATCTGTGATCTGACAGTACATGTAATTCATTACCCTTCATCTGGGAGAATAAGAATTGCTGTGGGATGTGAACTGCAGGTGATTGTTTACACTCCTTTTTGAGTTCTCTTAAACATTTATGAGGGTTTCTATAACTCTAGGAAACACAGAGAACATGTTTTTTTCCTGCCCTTAGGCACATAAGGCCACATTGCTTTATAAGTAAGAAAGTAGAATAACATCTTATTTCAATAATGCATAATCATGTCATCATTACATCAACAAACTTGGGCTAGTTCAGTATTCATCTGCAAAAAAAATTGCAAGTTCAGTGTTCCATATATTCTGACTTTGCAATGGATTTTTCTGAAGCTTCCCTCATTTACTAAATTTCTCATGGTTAATTGAACGGTGTTGCTTCTTGCCTGGAAAAGTGTGACGTCAGTAAACAGGCCATCAAGTTAGCCATGATGAGAATCATGATCCACAACAAAGACGTTTACATTTAAATAATTAAATTTCCCCTTGCAATGCTACCCTTGGCCTGTTGGTCTAGTGGCATGATTCTCGCTTAGGGTGCGAGAGGTCCCGGGTTCAACTCCCGGACAGGCCCACTTTTTTTTTTTTTCTTCTTGCTTTTTTTTTCTTTTTCTGCTTAATTTTTCTTTCATTAAAAATATTATTTTTATAGAACATCTTCTTTTCTTTTTTCAAGGAAAAACAAAATAACCGCACGCGCACACGAAGTCTACACACGAAGTGGGCGCGGGCGAAAATTCAGTCAGTAACCGCTTTGTCATCGTATCGATTATTATTATTAATTCGTTTTCTTTATTAAAATACTTGAAATGCATCTTTAAAAAACTGCATCTTCCTTTAAACGTCTAATATCGCGTTAAACTGGATGTGTTTGTTGACATGCCATTAGGGACAGCGCGTCTCCCAACCCCAAAATGCATCGGGAACGAAAGAATATCGAGATCGAAATGTATCGTGGGGCAAAATATAATCAGATA